ATATATATATGCATATATCCAACAGAAAGAATGCTGTTATTTTAATGCTAGAATTTAATGCCGTTCTTTTTTTTTTTTTCCAGACCTGGGATGCAAACAGGATATTCAAGGAGGCTGAGAAGTTCTTTGTATCTGTTGGCCTTCCTAAAATGACTCAGACATTCTGGGAAAACTCCATGCTAACTGAGCCAGGAGATGGCCGGAAAGTGGTCTGCCACCCGACAGCGTGGGACCTGGGGAAGCACGACTTCAGGTACTGAGACTGACAGTTAAGCAGCTGGTACTAAAATGGGAGACAATAGAGGGCAGGAATGAGGATGAATTAGGATTCCTTCTCTGCTTCTCTGAGCACAGGAGAGATGCATGAACTCTCCTTAAAGAAGGCTGGGAATCCATGAGAACACATCTAGGCTTTCCCAGGAAAGGGGGGCTGCCAGTGGGCCCTAACCTGAACCTCTAGACAGTTTGCCTCATTTGAAAGAATACGCACCCATTAGAGTTGCATGGCCATTAGTACGGCGGGGCCCACGTTAGGAAAGTTTTGGTGCTAAGATTTATGAAAGATGGATGTATGAATCAGACATCAGTCTTCCCCTCCATGTTTCCTTCTTTTGAGTGAGACAGGACAGGTGAATAAATCAGCTGGGACAAAAGAGAGAAAACGGTACGTGTTGTAAGAGAAACACAGAGAACACTCTATGGGGAATTGGAAGAGAGCTGACCATACCTGGTAGGATCAGACAGGGCTCTTCAGGCGGCATTTGAATTGAGTTAGAAAGGCAGAAAGGGTTTGGACAGACAGAGCTGGGAGGAGGACACCGGCCAAGAGGGGAGCAGGATCAAGTGCAGAGGCAGGACCCGGTACTGTGTACCCAGAGTCAGCGGTTTAGGCTGGGATAAAGGCTGTGTGCAGAAAGGTCTGGGTGATACTGCAGAATGAGCACAGGCTTTTGAATTCCAGGTGTGTCACTTGATGACTAGGCAACCTTGGGCAAGGTATTTACCCTTCTTGGGTTTCAGTTTCCTTGTCTGTGAAGTAGAACAGTGATTTCCAGGTTGCAGGCATCTGAGTGTCTTAGGTTGGGTTCCCCAGCTTGAGGTGGAGCTTCTTGTCCAAGCGCTTCATTGAGGGAGCCCTCCAGGCCAAGGGGAGTGCAGGAAGCAGGGTAGGCAGGAGAAGTAGGTGAAGAGGTAAGGAGATTCGCCTCCGCCTGATCCCACGGGGCTCTCTGGAGCATGATTTGTACCACAGAGTTGGTCTCACCTTGAGGCGAGAGGCTGGCCTTCCGTTAGTCATTGGCTGCGGACTGCCCCATAGTGTCGGGGACAGAAGCTCCTGGATGAGGCACCTCCCATTTGGCCAAAGGCAGCGAAGAGGAGGAAGCAGCTGTTGGCCTTTAACAGCTATGACTCAGGCAACTGGGAGCCGGTGGATCTGCGTGGTAAAGCGTATCTGGGCAGAGCCCCAGCAGTATTGCTAGAGCAGGGGCTGGCAGTCCTTTTCTGTAAAGCGTCAGCTATTAGATAGCTTAGGCTTGTGGGTCTCTGTTCCAACTACTCAGCCCTGCCCTTGTGACATGAAAACAGCCATAGACAATACACAAACAAATGGGTGTGGCTGGGTTCCAATAAAGCCTTGTTCATCCAAGCAGTTTACTGACTCCAGTACGAGAATGAGGCTTAGAAATGAATAAGTGGATGTAAGTTTCCTAGCACAAGATCTTACATACACTGCACATTAAATAAACAGGAGCTATGTTTATAATTGTTTCAAAAGAGAAGAGAGAAAAACCAAGTTAGAAAAGCAGCTGGTATTGGGGCATATAAAGGATTGAGGTTTTTTTTTGAGCAGTGCAGAGTCCTGAAAGGTGTTTATCAGGGGGATGACATGGTCAGAGTGGTAGGGAAATTAATTGGGGAACCTACTGAAGTATGACCCCTACACTCACCCGAATGAAAATGCTCTTGCAGTGTTGGAAAGGACACCCACCTAACTGTACATGCAGTCCTCACTTCACTGGCCACAGCAACATTAGGCACGGCCTGTGAGCTGTCTTTGAAATGCTATTTTTCACTGGCTTCTGTGTTGTCATCCTTTCTGGACTTTGACTTCTCTCTCCACCTCCTGTGGGACACCTTCCTCTCTCCACTCTGTAGTCCTGGGACCTCCTAGGGCTTTGTCTTTGGCCTTCTTTTCTTGTCACTCTACACCTGCTTCATGGGCATTGCCTCCGCTCACTGACTGACATGCTAATGATCCCCAAATATCAGTTTCCAGCCCCCTCACCTACTACTTCTCTATCCCGGCTGTAGCAAGCTGTTGGCATGTCCTGAATGCCACATTTTTCTCAAGCCTTTCTCACTGAGCACTTCCAGGAATGTCAACCTCTTGGCCCTCGCTGCCATCTACCTGGCAATGTCCTGCATGTTGGGCAAGGTCCAGCTTGCTCCCGGCATCCTGTGAGTCCTTCTTGGGCTTCTAGGTGACTGTGCCCAGGCCATGTTTATGGATTACTTATACTTGCCTCAGCATTTTTGCAGAAGACTCTGCTTATCTTTCCTTCTTTTAGTCTGTGAGCAAGAGAACAGGATTCAGCCCTGCCCCTCACCTTATGTTGAGCACCTAGTACAGTTTCTAGGACATAAAAGGTAGGTCCTCAAGATTCATTGGTGCATAAACCTTGGGAAGATGACCCCTGCTACCAAAATCCCATACAACTCTACTGTGATGATTAAAAGTGACTCAATGAGATTCATGTTAATCTTGCCCATTTTTGTGCAGAATCAAGATGTGCACAAAGGTGACAATGGATGACTTCCTGACAGCCCATCATGAGATGGGACACATCCAGTATGACATGGCCTATGCCATGCAGCCCTACCTGCTAAGAAACGGAGCTAACGAAGGGTTCCATGAGGCTGTTGGGGAGATCATGTCACTTTCCGCAGCTACACCCAAGCATTTGAAAAACATTGGTCTTCTGCCTCCTGACTTTTATGAAGACAATGGTATGGACACTTGTTTCATGGCTTGTTTGGGGGATTCTGATGTGGGCAAAGTATTCATTGTCATGTGTAGGATATATTTAATTTTTGCCACATGAAGTATAAGGTATTTATGGGTAATTAGGAATTACTATTGGTAAAAAAAAATGGTTTAAGTATATATCAGGACAAGGCAACGTGTGGTTTTGGGCCTTTGAAAAGAGCATAAGAAAAGTAACGGAATGAATGGTCTTGGTACTCTGAGAAACATCTAATGGAAAATTTTTTTAAAAATTGCTAAAACAGGTCCTTGGAACTGAAAAGGCTTATCCAAAGTCATTCAGCTAATTAGCGTCAGAGTTCTGACTAAATCACTCTGGTTGTAGGTAAAAACTTCCCAAAATCTTAGACATGGAACCAATTCTAAAAACCATTCCGCAAAGGAAGCAAGCTGAAGACAAGACAGGGAAAGTAACTAGCCCAAGGTCAAAAAACATGGCAGAACTGGAACCAGGGCCCTAATCTTAACATTTTTCCCATGATAATATGCAAAGCAAAGCATAACTTGAAATTTGGCAGTTCTTAAAGAGCAGGTGATGGACTATCAAGATTAGAAGGGACTGAAGCATTTTGTTCAACCAGCTGAAGCATGAATTTGCCCCTGTCACATCCCCTCAGATCCCTGCTATCCTTCAACATCTTTGCCTGAGCCAGCCTTTTTTTCTTTGGCTCGTGGGACTCGATGGAACATGACAAATGTTCCTGGGATCCAGATTCTTCAGTGAGGATGCCGAGCCTTTTGATTCTTCCTTGCAGAGGGAAGACCCTTAGATACAAGCCTTGTTCTCCTCTGTATATTTCTCTCCCCTGGGTCTAGCTGCTTGGGACATAGATATCAGCTCTCCTAGCTGGAATGGTTGGTCAGTGAGGTCAAGGTCATGAGCTCTATCCTTGTGTGGGCAGTTAACTTTGCCTGGATTTCTGCTCCAGACCTCAGTGACCCCATAAGGGCCTGACAGTAGGTCAGTGGAAAGCGTTACCATGTCTGGAAGAGTTACTAGAAGTACAGACCCGGTAGGTAATAGACAGGGAGCAGCATCCTGCCATGAAGGGAGCAACAGAGGACAGGGGTTCATGGTGACCACACCTGCTTCCTGGCTTTAAAATATCATTCTTAAACTTATTCACTATGTAAGAACTTGTTCACCATGTAAGAACTTGTTCATTATGCTTCAGAAGATTGGAGACTGTTGAGATATAAAGGCTTGGGGTTGATTAATGACTGTGCATTGAGTCCCCTATATAGAATTTTATTGTTGTTAACAACCATATGATCAAAAAAAATATCATTCTTAAGTAAATAAACAGACAATTTTTAATATCTTTTTTTGATATTCCTTGACAGAGGTAAAGATGATTGAATTACGAAGATAGTACTAGACACGGTTAAACCACTGGTTTGAAAAACTCCAGCTTCTTTCCTTGGCCCTGCCCCAGTCTGTGAATGATGTTAAACAAATAAATTCTCTTTCATTCCTTCTCCCCTCCCTCTCCCTCCCCCTTCTCCCCTTCTTTTTCCCAAAATATTTATTGAGCACATACCATGTGCAAGGCATTTTTCTAGACACTAGAGATATGGTGGCATACCCAGTAGATAATATCCCCCTGCTTACATTTCAGTGAGCTTCATCTGTGCACCAGAGATGCGCTCTACTGCCTTTTCCCATCGCTAATATGCGATGGAAGGAATAACATAATTTGTTAAACCATTTTTTCAGCTCAGGTAAGGAAGCCGTCAGTACATTTAAAGTGCATTGTACTTCTGCTCATCCGGTGCCTGGTTTCCTCTGGAGAGGCTCTTTTTGGTTTGTTTGTTTTTCCTCCCTGGTTTACTGGCCTTTGGCCACATCTGTTTAGTATTTGTTTATTTAACAAAGACTCAGAGAGGGTGGCATGTGGCAGACACGGAGCTAGGTATCCAATCTTGAATAAGACATTAACAGCCACTGCCTTCATGGAGCTTACAAGAATAAAGAATATGATTGGCAAAGTGGATGAAATAGCCCCCATTAGCTCTGCTAAAAGGTATTTACAGAAGGCAAACAAAACTAATGTAAAAAAGGAGGATTAGGGGTTACTTGTGGGTTCATTTTATCTGTTCTAAAAGGCCTCATCTACTCCAAATCCCTTAGCTGAGAAACTGAATATATACATATTATGATGCCCACTGTCAATTTTTCTCATGTAATCATCCTTATGGTAGGTATATCTTGAGATTGGGAAATCATCTGGCACAAAATATCTCTGTCATCCTCATTGTAATATTTATCCTTTTCCATTTTACTTTCAGAAACAGAAATAAATTTCCTACTCAAACAAGCACTCACAATTGTTGGAACTCTACCATTTACTTACATGTTAGAAAAGTGGAGGTGGATGGTCTTTAGTGGCCAAATTCCCAAAGAGCAGTGGATGAAAAAGTGGTGGGAGATGAAGTAAGTCAATGAATGTGTGATCAGTAAAATGTTTTCTCATGAGTTTGCTGTCTGTTTAAAAGCATTTGGCTGGCCTGCACACACACACACACACACATACACACAAGCACTGTGCCAGAATCTGTAATTTATTGCCTAAGGTCTTCCTCTAGGTCTCTAGAACCCTCATACGGCAGAATGGACTGAGGAATGAATGCCACCCCACCAGCCCTCGGTGTCTGATGGGAATTGGTGGATAAATACCTCCTCTTTCTCGCCCTCAGGTGGGAGGATTCTGAGTGCCTGCACTCCACTGGATCCTAGAGGCCCTTGGGATGAAGCTCAGTTACCCCCAATGGTAACGAGCTTGATAACAAACCTCCCTGGGGCTGCTTTCCTTTGTTCCTGTCTCACTTTCTTGCCAATGTTTTCTGGGATCATTTCTCAGGACCTTGTCTCAGGGTCTGCTTCTGTGAGATCCTAATCTAAAACAGCAAGGATTGGAACTCTCAGAGAATTCTTCATAGTCAGAAACCCTGGGATTTCAATAGCTCAATCCTGAAATCCGGCGATGTGGGCTTAAATATGTGACAAAGAGGGAGAAGCACATTCAGGTAGGAGAGCGCCAGCACACGCCACCCCTGTGCGCAGGCGTACGTTAATACCCTCTTTATCCTTTAAGTCTCCATTTGGGTGCCTTCTCCTCAGACAACATCTTTGTGGTTCTGCCCTCCCCCACCAAGCAGGGTCCCGTGACAAGTTCTCATTTTCTAGCTTCTTAAGTGTTTGGTCACCCACTGAACTGCAGTATTATTTAGGAAGTGATCAATTTATTCATTTTTATTTATTCTTCTATCCATTTTTTTAAACAAAAATATTAACCCCACATTTCCAGCAAGGCACTGGGGATCCAATGGTGCTCATTTCAGAGGTTCTCCTTGATTTGACTTCAAAGACCTTTTGGTCTATGGAGGGATGTGGGAAATGAAGCCACTGCCACATGTTGGGTTGTGATGGGAGCGCATGCAGTCTGTGAGATCCCAAGGGGAGATCCCCAGCTTGCTGAGGCCAGTTGGATGAGGAAAGGCACCCACATTGAGCTCTGAGGGAGATGTGCGAGTTAGTCAGGTGTAGGAAGAGGGGACGGAGAGAATCCCAAGCTGGAGAGAGCCTAGCACATTTAGGCAACAGGCTGTGGTCCCTTCAAAGAGCTTCAGCACTACATTACTCATCAGTGTATCCCAAGTGCCTTGCACAGGGTGTGCGACATGCACGTATGAAATAAACATATTTTGATCTATGTGATAATATTGTCATTAATTCAGACAATGGATGCTTCAAGTCTGAAGCTCAGGGGAAGTTAAGTGGATATTCCAGATCCATATAATACAGCAGTGAAATTGCTACTACTTTTCTGAGGTTTCCTTTCCAGGGAAAGAGCAGTAGACACGAGTTGCTATTCATCCCTTTACTCTGTGAAGACAATCCAAAATCTTGTAAAAGTTGCATAAGAAATGTATTAGGATATTAGATGGCTATGTCCCCTTTTCTTCCCATGCAGCCCTGCATTCATTCATGCGTTCATTTATTTATAACAGTTACTACTTCGAAAATAAATAAATAAAACATTTCTGCCCTTAAAAAAAAAGAAAAGAAACAAATGGGTTTTGGATGAAAGAAATACAAAAGAAGACGGAAGGGAAGGAAGGGAGGATGAGAGAAAAAAGGAAGAAAGACAGAAATCTTCTCCCCACCATCTGTCCGTCACCCCCCGTCAGTTATCTGCCCTTGTTTTTTCCTACTTTTCCTTTCTGTTGGGAAGCTCTCCCTCTGTAAGAGTTGGCCGCATATCTGTAAGTCAGTCAGTGCCACTCTTCTGCCAAGATTCCCTCTGTTAACATAAATCCTACTTGGGAGGAAGGAGGCAGCATCAGTAACTGTTTCTGGCATTCGAGTATTACTGAAATCATGTCTGTAAGAGTCCCACAGTCAAAAAGGACAAATGTGTCAGGCTTAAACAATGCCAGATACATGGTCCCCCCACTTTTTCCTTATTGAACTCATTTTTTATCTCTTTTAGTTAATTTTTAAAGGCACGTGAAATCAGACCCTTCAAACGATTCATTAATGCCTGAATTACTCCACTCACTCAACAAATGGACGTGAAGTCTTTCCTTAGCATTAGGTCCCGTGTTGACACGAACTGTACGTATGATGAAGACACAGCACCGCCCTCTAGGAGTTCAAGTATCCAGGGCAAGAAGAGCTGTATGTCAATGATTAAAAAATGGAGAGAGAAATGGAAAAGGGGATACAGCTAGAGAAGGTGAAGGGATCTGCAGGGGTTCACTGTGCTGGTGGGGATGGGGGGGTGGGATCAAGGACAGACCTCAGACGAGGGGACATTTGAGCTAGCCTTGAAGATGACCAAGATCTCAATTTTAGAAAATTCTGTCTGCCAGGAACACATAAAGTGTGATGCCAAAGGGGAATTATCAGGACTTTCACTGTACATTTTGGCCCGTGCTGTGCACTTTATTAAATTAGCATTTTGAAGATACAGCTATTTTCCAATGTTATATTCTGGCTGAATTTAAAAAGGAAGAGATAACCACATAATGGGTTTTATTCTATAATTTTTCACACTGTTTCTATTTCCCCGACAACCAATTCCAGTATAAATATCACTGGCTGACGAAACCCGCTCAGCGCCCCCGACCATACCTTCCCAAGAGGAGTGACCCACGGCTAATGTTTCCTCTCTTTCTACCAAAGGCGAGAGATAGTCGGGGTGGTGGAACCTGTGCCCCATGATGAGACATACTGTGATCCTGCGTCTCTGTTCCACGTTGCTAATGATTACTCATTCATCCGGTAAATGACAGTTTCCTTCTCACTGTGTAACTCCTAGGGTTTGTGGACAGCTGTGCTAATGGCAAAGAAATAGGGATCTATGAAGTGATGACTATAATTTCTCTGTCTCCACCCACCTCCCCGCTAGAACTCCCAAAGAGATGATCAGTTTCAATTCAGTGCGACTCAACACGACTTACTGGGTTGCATAAAACTTGTATGAGATCTTTTCTCCACCATCAAGGAATTTATTGTATCCTGGGAAGGAATAAAAATATTTTTGCTTATCTTCTTGTTATGGGCCGAGTTCAGAATCATTGTAACAGAAAGAACGTTTTTAACTTGAAGTCAAAAATCCTGTGTTCTTCACCTGTTAGCCCCAGATCTTGAATTTGCTGAGCCTCTGTTTTTTTATATGGAAATGGAAATGGTATTGTTGACCTGCGATAAGAATCAGTTGGCATCATTGATATGAAAAGGCTCTAACTCTGTAAAACACAATACAAATGTGAGCTAATATTTAACAAAACAATACTGCCTCTTTTTAATCAGCTGATACATAAATAAAAGCAGATTATGATGAATCTGTAGGGTTCATGTTTGGGTCTTACTGGAGAAAGAGGTTTAACTAGTCTCTCTTTGGTTACAAGGGCCTCAGAATTTGAATACATGCCCAGTCTATGTCTCGCTCTACCACAGTTCCTAAACCTGGGAGTGCTTTTTTGTTTCTGTGTCTCCTTTACAGATATTACACAAGGACCATTTATCAGTTCCAGTTTCAAGAAGCCCTTTGTCAGACTGCTAAACATGAAGGTCCTCTGCACAAATGCGATATCTCAAATTCCGCTGAAGCTGGGCAGAAGCTGCTGTAAGAAATGCTTTAAAATGTTGAATCTCTCCTTCTATCCAACATTACTCAATTCCATGCCTAGGTTTGAATTTGATCTCTTTGTTCTAAAAAGAAAATGTGGGGCCTCAAAATGTCCTTATCCACAAATTAAATGTTTATTTTGTGGCCACACAGGAACCTAGACCTTGTCCGGGCCATCTCCTCTCTCCCTGCCGTAACTACAGAGCTCGCTTCATAGTAATCGGAAGGGGAGAGATTGAAGGATGAATACAGCTGTTAACCCACCTTATTTTCTTATCTGCTGGCAGCAAACTTAGCCGAGGCAAAGAGCAGATACCATAGATCAGACATGTAAATGTGGACCTCTCACAAGGCCCAGAACCCACCCTCCCCTTTTTTCATGTAGTCAAATGCTGAGCCTTGGAAAATCAAAACCCTGGACCTTAGCATTGGAACGTGTTGTGGGAACCAAGAACATGGATGTCAGACCACTGCTCAACTACTTTGAGCCCTTGCTTACCTGGCTGAAAGAGCAGAACAAGAATTCCTTTGTGGGATGGAACACCGACTGGAGTCCATGTGAGTCCACTGACACATTTTGAGTGGCTCCCTTTCTGCTTGCACTCATCTGCCTCTCTGGCTCGTGTCATGGGGCCGTGACCCAGCAGAGCACGTTCTCCCTCTGCACAGACCCTGCGGCTGGCTGTGCTGTGGGGGCAGCTGCCTTTTCAGTGGGGAGGACGCACATCTGTTGAGCCCCTGCTAGGGACCAGGCATGGTGAAAACTACTTCACTGGCACACACACATTCTCTCTCTCTCAAATCTGCTTTTTAGCCCCATATTTAAAATGAAAGAGTTGAACTGTCCCCAACTCACTGTACTCGAATCCTGCTCTTCAACGACAAAATACCTTTTAACAATTTTAATGCTATTACCTCTTCTTTCCGGCAGTGACTTTCATCTTGCTAAACAATTCGTTTATATTGATATGTCTTTATTGGTCAGTTTTAGACATGTGCTTCCGCCTACTCTTCCACCTCCCTTTCTCATTCTCCTAATAAATTTTTTTCATAATGTTTAGTAAAGAAATGATCAATATTTACATCATCATGCCTGCTGAGCCATAATGTAGCATTTTATACCCTTTCTTACATGGCTTTTTGTTTGTGGCGTGTCTACTGCCTTTTTCTACATGCCTAATTTGCTACCTGCATTGCATTCATCTTTTCCAACTACCCCAGCCTATCTACTCTTTTCAGTCTCATTCTGTCCTAAAGACTCTTCCCTCTTAGAGACTCCCAGCCCGCCTCCATCTGGCCACGGTTGTCAGCCTGGGTCACCCCTTTGCTGCTTTCCTGGGTTGAATCCAGTGCGTCCTGGAGTCCTTGTCTCTTTCCTGGATTACCTCTTGTTCTGCAGCCACGCAGCCTCCAAATGACTCTCTAAGTGAGACCGTGGTGGGGAGGAGGGTCAACTGTTCCCCCAGTGGCCTTAACCATGCCTTGAATTCCATTTCTCCTCATTTTCAGTCCCTGTCTTCTCTCCACTCCCTGCTGCACCTGAATCCCACGCCCCTCTGGATCTCCCGGGACTCCTGACCCTTGGGAAAGCGCTTATCCCTCTCCATACTTCTCCTTTTCCCAAAGCATGTTTATACCTTTTAAAACATTCCTTCACTATCACTGCAGTGGGATCTTGGGAGGGAAGGATGTAAACACACATGATCGGTTCTGTCATTTGTAACTAACAGTCTGTGATTTCTGTTTCATCAGATGCCGCCCAAAGCATCAAAGTGAGGATAAGCCTGAAGTCAGCTCTCGGGGAAAAAGCGGTGAGTATCCCAGATAGCATGCCCGTTACTTTGTAACGCATTTCCTTATATGGCCACTAAGCCCATTTCCAGTGTGTCTGAAAGAGAGGCCACATGGTTCTCTTCAACACTACAAGCCCCAGACTCTGGGATTTTTAGTCGGACATTCCATATAGGATTGGTTATGTCTACTTTTTCCTGGTTACTTTGAAGATATGAAGATCAGTGAGAAAACATCCAATCTTAAATATCACGTGGCCGTCCCCCACCCATTCACCCTTATCACTGTCACTTGTATTTCCCAGGGATGCTTTCCTGGGAAGTTAAATATTGGCCAAGGCCCCACAGTAGCTGTAATTTTCATAGATAAGTAAGGCATCTAAAAATAAACAACTCAGTAAGAGTGAAAAATGGATCTTTAAAAAAGAAAGAATAAAAATGGAGGTGCATCCCTTAGCAAACTTTGAACATTCAAGTTCCTATTTCTTAGCAATCATTGAGTATCTGTGGGGTTATTTCTCTTTCTGTCTTCTTTTTATTAGCTCTTTATTGGCCTAATAAATCTTAATTACTTGAAATGAAAGGATCTAGCAGATCAGGATCCTTTTCATTTATTTTCTTTTTTCTTGACATTTGTCCCACATTCTCATTCCTTGCAGTGAGGGGTTGGTAAATGGGCTTGAGAGAGTTTGATGGGATACTATTCTGAGGGCTGATCACCAGCTCAGGTGCTTTGATGAGACCAGACCATACTGTAAGCACACCTACACATCAGGACCACAATATCTGCCCACTGCAAGCTATTTCATGGTAAAGTTCAACTGGGTATTTGGCCTTATTTTGAGAGCTCGGTCTTTAAGTTTTTTTAAATATAAAACAGCAGCTAAAATATTAGCAACAGTAATGTTAATACTATTATTGTTACTATTAAAGCAACTTTTTCTAAAACCTGAGTGATACAAAGCGAAGTTAATGTGCAATTCTTTTGTGAAATCTTGTCAGTTTTTCCTAAAAGGGAAAGGAGAGATGCAAAAATTTGTGCCATTCATTGATCTCTACTGCCAGCTACTGGAGGAAAAAGTGAATGCTTTTTATTTTCTTTTAACAAGTTTCTCAGAGACTGCAAATACACCAGCCATTTGTTTAGCCCTGAAAAACAAGAACAAGCTACCTTGTTCTTAACAGACTTATTTTTGCCTTTGACCCTGGTTTCTTTTTTTTTTACACTTATACGTGAGTGAGAACTTATTATAAAAATAGTAAAAACTCAGCATATTTGTCTGCAAGACATGGACATTTTAACCAGAACGCATAACTTGCGTGACTCCCATCTCTAAACATGTCCTCAGGGTCTTTATTTCAGCTCACATCAAACTAAAGAAAAAGGGTAAATGAACACAGCGCTTCTGAGAACGTGGCTGCCTGACCCACGTTAGCACCACTTGGGAGCTTGTTTGCGAGGCGGATCCTTTGGTTTCATCCCAGGACCTTCTGCATCAGAAGCTCTGAGGGTCAGGCCCAGGACTCAGTGGTCTGACTGGCCCCCCGGGTGATGCTGACGCACACTCAAGTTGGAGGTCACTGACTTAATGAATAGCTAGAATCTTTGGCTAATAGAAAAATCTAAAAACAATGCGTGTAGAATACCTGCTTTTGAATGTATCCTTTGATCCCTACTGAGCAGTGCTTCTCTTTTCAATTTGCAGTATGAATGGAACGACAGTGAAATGTACTTGTTCCGGTCATCTGTTGCATATGCCATGAGAGAGTATTTCTCAAAAGTCAAAAAACAGACGATTCCTTTTGAGTGAGTCGATTTGCTGTGCTTTCAAGTTACCACTATCTTGGGTCTGAGCAGATTCTACGCTTAAACTTTTATTCAAGTGAAATTAAGAGAAACCTCCTATAACGTTTAAGCTTCTTCAATATCCTGGAATTTGGGTTCCTCTATTTAGGGATGATTGTGATTTTTCTGACTTGTAAATTGTGATCTAAGTTCTTATTAAGCTGCCCCCTCCCCTCCCCTCAGATTTCCTCCTCTCCTCTCCTCTCCTCTCTCCTCTTTTCTTCTCCCCTTCCCTACCCCAAATGCTCTCTTCCATCCTTAGCTGAAAGAAAAAGGCAGAAATCTCTGCCCTCATTGAGCTTCTATTCTACTGTATGTGTTTCGTGTGTGTATGTTATAGACAATCAACAAAATATATAAGTGAAATACAAAATTAGATTATAGTAAGCGCTAGGGAGGAAAATACAGCAGGACAGGGGCTAGGGTACGCTGGGGTGTGTGTGTGCGCGCGTATCTAGAAGTCAATTTAACTGAAATGGTCAGAAAAGACCTCGCCAATATTTGAGGAGAAAATGGGAGGGGAGGGAAGGGGGCACCTTAATAAGAACTTAGATTGCTAATCAAAACACTCGAAGCAGGAGAGCGAGCCGGCAGTGCCGGCAAGGGCCACGTTTCATGAGGGATAAGCAGCAGGTGGAAAGATCTTGAAGAAGCAATACCGCTCACCTTTTGAAGGAGCAGCAGCAAGGAGGCCAGAGCGGCTGGGGTAGAGCCTGTTACTGGGAGAGAAGGAGGCGCTGGCCAGGGCAGCGGGGGGCCTGGGGCTGGAGCGGGAGAAGGAAGTTCAGAGGCCACATAAGCCCCTCAAAGGCTCCCGCTTTCCTTCTCGGTGAGAATGGCTCTGAGCCACATGCTCTGCCTTCGGTTTTATTAGGGTCCCTCTGGCAGCTGTGACCCCCACTCCTTGTCATCCTCCGTCATGCGAATGTCACATGACAGGTTTTGCCTCTGGGGCTGGAGGATGTAAGCGCCACCTCTGTCCTGGCTGTTTATCAGAATCCTGGGTCACCAGTGAATCCTCGCTGATCCCCCTGGTGCTTTCAGTTTGAAATTTTCCCATCACTGAAAAAAATACGGTTTTCACACGGGGGCAGGACACAAGTGCCGAGATGCTCTCACAGCCTCTGCAGTTGGGTTCCCAAGCTTCAGCAGCGTGAAGGCTCTGGACAATCACATCCTTCCGCTGTCTGCCCTGCCCCAAGTCTCTGCTTTACCCCGCGATCCTCCCCCGCCGCCTCCTCTTCACTGGCAGGGAAGTCTTCACTCTCCCTACTGTGTCCTCTGTGCCACCAGGGAAGTCGTTTCTCTTCTCTCCACAGGGATGAGTGCGTGAGGGTGAGTGACCTGAAACCCAGGGTTTCCTTCATCTTCTTCGTCACTTTACCTAAAAATGTGTCTGCCGTCATTCCCAGAGCTGAAGTCGAAGAGGCCATCAGGTGATATTTTACTTTCAAACAAACTATGTGAGGGCGAGGGGGTTGACAGATGTGACAGCCACAGGAACTGATACTGAGGTATTCTTACCATGCGCCAGGCACTCTTCAGAGGCTTTTCTGTGTTTCACCTCATCTTAAAAACTTAGGGTTTCATTCTAAAAGGATCTCATAGCAAGGGAATGGTCTTGATCTGGGCTCCTCCAATGCAGGCCCTGAGACAAGGGTGGGAGTGTGAGGAATTTATTTGGGAAGTGATCTCAAGAAGCTGTGAAGAGAAACGCAGATGAGAAACAGGGAACAGAAGCTAATAAACGACATGCTATCGAGCAAGGTACCACTGTGGGCAACTGAAGCTCCAGTCTGCCGGGGAAACCTAGGAGACTGGGGGGAAAATGCACCTCAAGTGTCCCCTCAGAGCTGGGATATTTATCTGCCACCTCCGATCGGTCACTGGTTGAGAACTGCTCACAGGTGACATTAACCCTGCAGCATTCCTGGCCTGCAGGCAGGGCAGAATCTGTGGCCTGAAAACGTTCTCAGGCAAAGGCAGCAGGTACTGGCTGCAGAAAGTCTGGCCAGCATGCCTGGGAAATGGTAAGTGCCGAAGGGACCGAGACGGGCATTGGCATCCTATGCTGTCAGGGACTTTGACGCAGGATTCATTTAACTAACCATGGTCTAAAAGAGGTAGGCAAGAACAGGATTCCACAGACATTGGTTAGCCTTCACACTAGGGGGGGGGACTCTGCACAGTGAGTGTTCAGAAGGAACAGTGCCCAGTTTGCCTCAACTGTGTCCCAAAACAGCCACAGCCAAGTATGGATGCAGATGGTTCCCCTTGTCATTCAAAAACGGCTTAAGGTACCCACTGCGACAGGGACGCTCACTAGGTGGCCCTCTTGAGCTGCTGGTTATGTCTGGAAGCAGAACTGAGAAGTGCTGGGCAGAGGTGGCGGGGGTCACAAGGCTAATTCCCCTTGACCTCTCTCCCTCTCTGGGAGGGCTCTCACCTCCTGACCTGTACTAAACCCAAGGAGGAGGATGGGATGCCAGACACTCTGGTTTTCAATCCAGAATATTCTTCATTTCACTAGTTTTTGTTTTGTTTTAAAAGATAATCTTCATCCTCTTTTCCCCTATAAAATCCAGCCATATCCCATCCCAGTGCTGGAGAAATTGGCAAAGGCCCCTTTCCTATGTCCCTTCCCTGCCTCCAAATGTCAAAACCTTTCATTTGGAAAATGCCACTGTCACTTGGGTATAAGACCTGATACATTTGTAGAAGAAGTGTATCCAATTGTTCTTTTGCATTATGTGATGGGTGTGAAGCCATTGGAGGCACATTCCGACAAAAGGGACATTCTTGCCAAGTATGCTATTTCTGCCTTCACAGCATAGTAGCCACAAATGAGCCAATGCCAACCATTGGTACATTTCCACACTTGCCATCCAATTTTTCAGTGAAGCTGTTGCCACATCTAATCTAAGATGCAAGATACAAAAGAGGCATAATTATCAAACGCATATCTTTCATTGGACCTGGTTATCTTCTTTGATTTCATTGCTGTTTTTGATGTACCTTCTTAGGATGAGCCTTATCAGATCCTTTTGGGAACAATGATATAAGGAAAAAGTAATTACACACAATTTCATTTTGCCTGAATGCTTTGCTTTTGGGAATAGGATATCCCGGAGCCGTATCAATGATGCTTTCCGCCTGGATGACAACAGCCTGGAGTTTCTGGGTATCCAGCCGACACTGCAGCCCCCGTACCAACCACCTGTCACCATATGGCTGATTGTTTTTGGGGTTGTGATGGGAGTGGTAGTGGTTGGTATTGTCGTGCTCATCTTCACCGGGATCAGAGATCGGAAAAAGTAAGTGACCTTTCCTGGACTTACCTATCCTAAAACAGAAAGATTGAGGGAAAACTAACTGGGGAATTCGCAATAAGTGGTAGGTTGTACAAGCCAATTACTCATTTGGACAATTCTGCACCTAAATATTCTGATGCATCCCTTAGAAATTTACCAGATTATATCAGCATTTTGCCTTCCCAGGAAGCCCTACCACACCGTAGATGCCCAGCCTGGGGCTCGCTAGCATGCCCTGGTAACTCCATCCTGGCCACAGCGTGATTGCCCTACTCCCAAGATGCCCTGCAGACTTAGCAGGGGTGGGCGGCTGGGGGTATTCCTTACTGATGAGTCCCCCCGGGTCTAGAAGTGGCCCTAGAGACTGGATTGGTGATGGGCTTGAACCGGACAGTCCTTCAAAAATGAACTCTGAGAACTGCTTCCAACTACTACTCTCTGATCATCTTCATTCCTTCTCAGGTAGCCCAGACTTGGTATCATCCCCTTAGTTCATGAGTCAGGCAGCCTCTGATTGGTTCTTGAGTTGAAGATCCAAGTTCATTGAGGGTTTAAATCATTGGAGACCTGATTCCCACTCTTGCTCTGCCACTAAATTTTATTTTCTGACCTTGAGAAATCATTTACTTTCACGGGACTTCTGTAAATAAGGTTAATAACATTTTATAGCACCTAACAAATCTCTATGCACACTTCGGTCTGTTTGAACACATTTGTGATAGAATTTTTACATGCAGTAATCTATTTTGCTCAATTTTCTTCACTATAGAAATGTTTTAGTCCCCCAAATAGCTTCATTTTAAAAATTACACATTGAATAGATATATTCATATGGCTAAAATTTTAAAAATATGAAAGGATACATCCAGTCTCCCTGTCACCCTTTGCCTCCAAGTGTCCTTCCCAAAGCCAGCCAAAATGATCAGTTTCTTGGAGACCTAGCATCGGAGAATCTGCATTTCAGTAAGCCCCCCAAGGTGATGACAGTTGGAAGAGCATTCTTCTACATAGTAGAAATTTGCACATGAGACACTATTCCAAAGTTAAGTCATTAAATAAATTATTAGGGGGCACCTCCTTCTTGCTGCACCATGTTAATAGAAGGTACACAGGAAAATAAGACTGGCTACCCTTCTCAGTACTTTCATATATGAATGTTCTCAGCAAAACATGTGATGTACATATGTAATTATCTTCGTGTAAATAAAAAACTGAGGTTCAGAGAGGCCAAGTAACTTTCTCAAGTTGATACAGCTAGTCAGTAACAGGTTGCGATATAGGCCCTGTTTTCAAAGCTGGTTGTACTACAAAGCTGTCCTACCATGATCTTCACACTTTGGAAGTTGATAATTTAGTAGGGAAGTGCTTTAAAGTGAGGTGATTGGCTAAATGACCGCTGAGTTCCTAAAACAAAATAGTTCCTAAACATAATGGTTAATGTTTATTGTGGATTATATGCCAGGTCCTGTGAGTGCTCTGCTAGCATTACTTCAATGACTTTACATAACTGCCATCATATTCTGAATGGGCAAACCGAGGCCCAGAGACCCCCGCCCCCTGCTTCCCCAATCCCACCCTGACCCCAGAGCTCATACTCCTCTAACTAGACTTCCTCACTCTGCAACCATGGTGCCAACCACTTGCTGGGCTACAGAAGCGAATCCAAAGCGCTGCAGTGTTGATAGTCCATTAAGAGGGTTCTGATAGCAAAGGAGTTACCCCAGTGATTTGATCCCAAGGTGTAAAAGATGCCTGGGCCCCGTGGAGCTCCAAGGAGACAGAGCCATTCTAACATCACTATATTAAGGTGACTTCACTTTATTTCACAGGAAAGATCAAGCAAGAAGTGAACAGAATCCTTATGCCTCTGTAGACTTGAGTAAAGGAGAAAATAATCCAGGATTCCAAAATGTTGATGATGTTCAGACTTCGTTTTAGAAAAATCTATTTGATTTCCTCTTGAGGTGATTTTATGGTATGTGAATGTTCATTTCATAGTACAGAAAATATGAGATTATTAAGATGTCATTAAATAGCAAAACACTGGCTCTGTTCAGGAAAAGTTGTCCAAAGAAGACATGCCTGAGGAGAGAGCATTTTCACTTGCTTTCAGTATTTATTTCTGCCTTGGGATTTGACTTTTCTTCTGTTTCCTAAAAGAGATGTTTATATTTGAGAGTAATAGAGAAAGTGTGACTTTGGCCTCCCAGGCTGTTCATGGGTAATGGAAATAGAAATGTCTGTTGGGTTGCTGGAGTTGTGGGGGGAAAAAAAGGATTTCTGGTGGGAGCAAGTGTTCCAGGCTTGTATGGAAGCTGAAGGAATCACTTTAAGGACGGTGTGCGTGACCTGGTGGAGCTGCAGAGATCATGAATGGCACACACTCTTCACTCTAATTCAGGTGTGAAGGATGACACACTCTCTTCCCATTAACTAACCTAAGTACTAGAGTCATTTGCCCACAGTGGTGACTGAACTGAAACATGCCTTCTTTAGGGCAACAGGTCTAAAGAGGGGAGAAGAATCCAAAGAGCTGTTAGCAGACTTTCACCTCGTTTCCAAGCTGCTTGATCATCATCTCCATGACAACGTAAAACTAGCGCCAGGGGCGTCCGTGAGCACCTCCCCCACCACCCATAGCAAGCCTGATAGAAACTCATTTCCATTGTTCTCTACCCCTGGAATGAATAGAAAGCCCAACTGAATGTCACCCTCTCAAATGGGCACCTGATCTCTTCAACCTTTTGTATTCACCTGCAGTGTGAGTAGTGCTGGGCACAGAGCAGACACTAATAAATATGTACTAGATTTACGCACTCCTGTAGTCTCTTCTGTACTTACGTGCTGGGGTTATTGCGGATTCTGTCTGCTTTTCATTTCCATGCACGAAGCTGCTGTCTCCCTGGGACCTTGACCTCCCAAATGTCTTAGAATGTATCCCAATTTCTCAGATTGCTTTATTGTACAGAACAACTACAAAATCATTTTAGAAAGAGTTGTGTTAGGACTGTATACACCATCAGGTTAGAAACCAAGCCTAATACTGTTTTTAAGTACCTCGGAGCCCCCAGCACAGTTCTGAGCTCATACCTGAAGACTGATTCAGAATAGGTTAAATGGATTAAAATCTCCAAACTCTACCCACCAACTCACTCTGTGTGGTGACGGGCATGACGTTAGAGTAACTTTGTCTTTGAAATATTCTACAGAGCTAATGTTAATGGTTGATCAGTTAGACAAGTCAGGGAAGGATGACCTTTTTTTTTCACTTCCAAGAGTGTAGGCACGCCCCTGGTTTAAAACGACAATGAATGCTAGATAGCCCCACTGAGCAGTTAAATGGCATTTCAGAAGCCTCTGAACAGTTCCTTTCCTTAGCTCCTCCTAGCATCACCTCCTGAGTTTTTGATACTCTGCAACCAGTATCTTAAAATCTTGCTTGACTTGATTTCTGGAACCAGGCATCTTATCAAGGCTTTAGCTCTTTTCATAGTAGATGATTTTGTATTGTCTAAACTTTTTTGCAACAAGTATGTATTACTTTTGTTATAAAAAGGATTATATTTAAAATATATAAAGAGAAGAAAGGAAAACCGCTTCTAAGAGGAACACCAGAAAGACCCAGCTTGGGCAGGGGAACTCTCTGGGTGGGTAGCACCTGCGGCCCAGGCCCCTGGTGGGCGGCATCAGAGGGAACAGCCCCGGTGCACCCCGACCTGACTCTGGGCCCCTGAGGAGGAGGGGTCGTGTTACTTGTTCTTTTCCCGCGGGTGGGAAAGAATGGCATCGTCGGTGCTAGGTAATGCTCGCTGAATGTATAAATGCCCTAGTGGTTATTTTTAAAGTTCGGTTTCCTTATAAACTGAGATTTGTGTACCTCTGTAAAAAAAATGGAAGACTATTATCATAAGTCAATTCTTCTGAAAATAAAGGAGTCAGTGTTTAAATGTCAAGAAACAAATAACCAAGAGGGATCGTTGATAATAGCTGGGGGCTGAGAGAGTAAGTAGGGTGAGAAAGGATGTGGAGGTCTCTTAGGGGAGATTAACTTGTTCCTGGAAAGCAGCAGGGCTTAATTAGGGGGTCTTTTCATTTAATAGTGTTTTCCCCATAACCTTTCTCTTTCCTTTGTTGGCATTATAGAAGAGACGCTGGTACTCCAACAGATTAAAACAATGGGTCCGCAGCAGGCTGCAAAGGAGGGCGTTCCCAGGAACAGTGTCGAAGCTGAAGTTCCTTTTAGCAAAAGCCACTAGAAGCTAAAATAGTACTTTGTACCTTTGTGTCAAGATAGAAGACTGAAACAGAGACTTCACTTACCAAACTAGTCAGAAGCCGCAGGGTGCCAAACTCAAGAATTTAAAATGATTAGAAAGCAGCAATCTAATCAATTCTAGAAATAAGACCAGGGTTATACTGAGTTCGAGAACTGATAATTGATAACGGTTAATGTTAAGTAAAGAGGCACCAAATTATACCCTAGCATCTTTTATATACGAAAATATATTTAATACATTCTTGAATAATATTACTTAACTTTAGTTAGCTGTATATTTGTGTACATGACATAGTCATTGTCCTAATCTGGATTATCAGAGAACTGTGTCATTTGCATTGAATTATGGACCACCTAAGGGGTCCCGACTACCCAAGGTGGCCCCCTAGAGGCAGTTCGGACTGATTGTGCAGGAACATCTGGAAGCTTGTTAAAAATAACTCTCAGGCTGCAACTCAGCCCTGCTCTACCAGAAGCTCTGGGGTAGTTCCTAAGGAATCTGTGTTTCAATAAACTCTTCATCTGATTTTCCTGCATGCTAAAGTCTGAGAACATTGAAACATGAAGGCAAATGTCCACATTTCTGCATTTGTTGGTAGCATATTTAATTATCATGATAGTGATGACATAAAGAAAATAATATCCAACAGATAATTTTCCAATTCCGTTCAATTTTTTATACATAGTACTCACCCTCTCTGTATTGCAATCAGAAAATGTGCTTCTGCTATAGGCTGGGAAGTGTAATATTAAGAGCAGCATAAACAAAATCACTAATTTGACCTAAATTCCAAGGAAATCTTTTGTTTCATACCTTGTTCATTTCCAGATAAAATAACAAACAGCACACAGAACACTATTAAGAACTAACTAAATGACATGGTCCGTGCCTTGCTACTGTCCTTTGAAAGAATGAAAATGGTGGCCAACATTTATATTCGTCCTCATCAGATCTCCTAATTTCTTCTTCAAGGCTTATCTTTTTCCCGAAGTGGTTCAATGGAAGATAGGAGTTGCTGAAATGTGGGACGCTTTTCAGGAAGCTAAATAAAAGAAAACCCCAGTGGTTTAGTTTATGAAAGTTATGGTTACAAATAAAATACATAAGACATTTATGCCTCATCCCAAAGCTAGCAACTTTTTAAATGTGGAAATTCTGCAGACATTTCTACTAAAGAGCAAACAATTCGAGCCCTGAGAATTGGAGAAGAAAAAGTAAAAGTATCTTTATTTGCATAAGAGATGATTGTATACCTGGATGAACCAAGAGAACCAATGATAAAGGAACATACCAGAAGAGCAGTATATAAAACTAACGTACAAGATCAATAGCCTTCATATATATGAACAATAACCAGTTAGAAGATAGAATGGAAGAGAAAAGCCCATTTACATGAGCCACACCACCAAAATAAAATACTAACATAAATGTACCCCCCAGATGAGGAAAACTTTAAAACACTGTTGAAACGCATAGGAAAACATTGCTTGTTCTTGACTAGGACAAAATAATATCCTAAAGATGTCAGAGTTCCCAGGTAAAAATATAAATGAAATACAATCTCCTCCAAAATATGAGGAAGTCTGTTCCAGACTGAACAAAATGATGCTCTAGTTCATACATTTTTTTAATTGTGCAAAAGTAGCTAGGCAAATGAAAATGTTCACTACATGCAGAACCTTCACCTGGGGATTATCTCTGCAGGCCTCTCAATGGATTCTGCCGCGATGCACACACTTTTCTGGGCCAACTGTGGGGAGAAGGCAGTTCCCTGCTGTTTGGGGCCCCTGTGCATCTGCTGGCATAGTCACCTTGCCAGCAGCCAGAGTGGGAGGGCCAGGGGGCTTCTGGGCTTCAACCCAGTTTCTCCATCCGACAGGTGACAGGGCAAGTCAGCCTGGCTGTGGGCAGGGACAGGTCTCTCACTGTCAGCTGACCCTGTCTAATCCTCCAGCCCTGCCAGAGGCTCTCAGCACCTTTGACACTACAGCTAGGGTAAAACGGGTAGGGCAGCCTTCTATAGTGTTGCCAGTGCCCTAGGGTGGGAACTCAGGAGGCGCCATATTTTGGGAGATAATGTCAGGCTAACTGATAAAATCGTATGTGATGCAGTCAGCAGTTCTTCCAGAGTGGGATCCTCAGCTCCAACAGGAGAGATAAGGAACTCTCTAAGTCCTGTGCAGCAATTTGTTCATAGCACCAAGCATAGTGTCTGGTGCATAAATGCTCTGAAATATATAACAACAAACACTTAGAGCATACACATACTGTGTACCGGGTACTGTGCTCAGGACTTCATAATATCCACCTGTTCAATCCACACAGTAATCCTACCAGTTAAGAACTACTTTACAGTGAAACACAGAGATGTTAGGCAGCTTGTACAAGGTCACACAGCTAGTGTTCAACCCAGACATTTGGGGTCCAGAGCCCACATGCTTAAACATGACAGCAGCCTGCCTTTTACTAGGGTATGAATGCATGCATCAATGCAGCACTAGGCCCTACGTCAATGAAGCAGTACCATATAATGGTGTGAGTATGAGCTGGGGGCTCTTAGAGTACTGCTATTAGACGTCCTCTATTATCATGTCACTCTCAAAAGTCTTCGATGGCTCCCCATTGCCTGTAAAAAGAAAACCTTGCACTCTTCTCCTCACCATTCAGTCTGCAGCATCTGGACCAGACCGACTCTTCCAAACCAATTTCCAGCCCATCCAACAATAAGCACAGCCAGGCACACCATGCTCATTCTGGCCTCCACACCTCTGCTTGTGCCAGTCTCACGTGGACACCCTTTGACAACGTCTCCACTCATACCTATGGACACTGCCGAGACTTCCTGACCAGTCTCAGACATCAGTGCTTTTGGGAAGCTGGTCTCCCTCTGCTTTGAATTCTTCCCATACTTATCTATGTTTCTATTTTGCATGTGTAATGATAAACTGCTTGGTGTTTTCAGTCCCACTGTGCATGTGTGTGTGTGTGTGTATGTACTGTGAGTTAAGTGAGAACAGAGATGGCGCCTCATACTTCTTTAACATGCATCCCCCTTAGTTCTACAAATAGTAGATGCTTTGCAGATGAATTCCCTGCAATTTCAGCTCCATGTTGGCCCCAAAAGATACCCTTTTTCTTTATCTGCCTGGAATGCTTTTATTCAGGATTTGTGGGGTGTGGGAAGAGAGGAAGGAATCATGACCATAATGTGTTCTCTGTATGTGGCCACGTGTTCTCTGCTATACATTTTCTACTTGAGGAAAGACCCTTAGCATTGTGGTTAAGAACAGGGACTCTGACACTAGTCATCCTGCCTCTTAATAGCTGTGTGACCTTGGGTGAATCACTTAACCTCTCTAGGTCCCTGTTTCCTCTTTTGTTGGTTTTATCTGTGATAATAGTACCTACCTCAAATTGTGTTTCCTGTTGGATATGAGTTAATATTTATAAAGTTCTTAGAGCAGTGCTGGACAGAAGTTAGTAGATTGTCAGCCCCTGGAGTGCTGGTTTGAGATTCTGAACACCTGAGGCAGGGTCTTGGGGCCATTTCAGTGTCTCTGCAGCAGGTGCCCTCCCTCAAAACTGCCTCCCCACTCATGCTGCACAACCACTCTGGATCCACCTAGCCCACCTTCCACTTGCCTCATGCCAGCAGCTGTACATGATCTGGTAGATGGTGTCTGATGCCAGCTGGGGCCGGTAGAGCCTGTGGCCCTGGGAGACCTTCACAACTACCTGGGAGTTATCATACAAGTCGTAGGGCTGCTTCCCCAGGCTGAACACTTCCCACATCAGGATCCCTGCAGAGAACCAACGGGACAGCCGGCAGAAGAAAAGGAAAGAGAACAGATATCAGAAGGTAGGGTCTGTCAAATGAGCTTCACACACCAGGCCAGGAAGGCTAGGGTTCGGAGTGAGGAATCCCTGGGGAATGAGGCCTGGCAAAAAGGACAGGATGTGGAGGGTGGGCCTGTACCATGACTTCTGGAGCCTGGGCCTCTTCTCCATGTTCCCTGAGACCTAGGCACCCTGCTTGCTGGTAAATGGAGAAATGGCAAGGGCAGGTGCAGTGGCACCTCCTTGGGACCAGGATTCTTGAACTGCTTCAGAGAGGTGCCTGGGGCCTTGTTCAACCTCACAGTGACAACCACCTGCTCCAAACCTCAGGGGCCACTGACTGAGGTCCTCGCCCTATGTCTCTGCCTTGGCATTTGTGTGCGACAATGTCATCGCATGCTCCAGTTACCTTTTAGGGTAAATTTAAAGATAAAATCTTTGGCAGCAATTTAATTAGTAGTTTAAAACCTATACATGCTTAAGTTACTCTACAAGAAGATATATCAAAGAAATAATCTTCCCATGTTTTCTTTCACCTGCTACTTCTATAGCTTTTCTTCTTCCTCCCTAATTACAACCCTTAAATAGAATTCGTGCCTCATATCGAATTTACCGAGTATCATAATTCCTCCAAGTGGTAAAGATACCTCAAGACAAAGGCTGGGCCTAGAAGCCACAGGGCATAAATCTGCAAAGAAGTAAAAAGCTAACCTTTTCAAACAATATGGCTTCTCTCTCACTTACCAACTTTACATTTCCCTGTATGGCCCC